TACATTTTGGGACGTAAGGATGGTGTTAATTTAAACTCTGCTCCAGCAAAGTTCCCCAAAAATTATACATTCATTCATTTGTGTGTTTTTCTGCAGCCTCTAACGGCTCAAACGAGGACCGCGGGGAGGTGGCAGACGAGGACAAGAGAATCATTACAGATGATGAGATCATCAGCCTCTCTATTGAGTTCTTTGACCAGAGCAGGTAGGCTTCATTTTTCATTAACGTGTGTTTAAGCAAGTGATTATTAGTTACTGTAACTTTGTTAATTTTTAATTATGTAGAACAATTTTTTTTTATGAACAGGCTAGAAATCTTAACATTTAATTTAATCACAGATTTCTAAAAAAACGTTCACTTTGTTGTTATTCAGTAACATCATGTGATCCAACAAGATGTTAGACTGTTTTACACAAGATAATGTTTAAACAAAAAAATCAGATCCAGTCATAATGACATATAAATATAAAGATATTTATACATCATTGTGACTGGATCTGAGTGTCTACAAACTGTAGACAATGTATTATGATATATTTTTTCAATGAGAAAAAATGGGCTTTGTTAGTTTGTGGGGATTTTGTCCCTATATATTCAGCATTTATGTATAATAAGAGATTATTAATTATTTTAGTTTATTTTCTATAATTTACTGGTTTTGCTAAGATACTGACAGTGGTGTCCTGCTAAGTATATATATATTTATGTGATTGTAGTGGACTTGAGGAGTAGACTATAGTGTTAAATTTATATATTATATGTGTTACATTTAATTTCAAGTAAAAAAAAAAAAAGGAAAATAAATGTATGTATTTTTCATTTAGATAATGTAATGTCCACTAAATCAGATTTTTGTTTAATATACAATGTTTTTATAATAATTTCATTATTGCGTTCCAGTTTGACATGGGAACATTGATAAAAGAGACCTGACAAAAAAACATTTGTCCCTTTTTAATTCTGTGCAGGCTGGGAGGTGGCGTGGAGGACAAACAGTCTAAAGATCAGGTATTGCAATGTGATTTTGTCCACATTGACATTATTTTTCTCCTGTTTCATATTCTTTTTTAAAGATGAAATACCCTGTGAGCTCCTTATCATTCAGCAATTACTGCATATTTAGTTTAAATCAAGCTATATGCTGTTGTATAGCAAATCATTTCCCTGATATTTTTTAAGGTGGACCAGCCTGTCTGTTTTTAACAATTCAGTCACTTTATATTAATATACTTGGACACCAGTGAGCTGTAATACTTATAATTTTTGCATATTTGTGTAAATGTGCAGGTGGCTAACAAGAGGTACCTGCAGTGTCCAGCAGCTATGACGGTCATGCACCTGAGGAAGTTCCTGCGAAGTAAAATGGACATCCCCAGTACCTACCAGGTCTGTTCTCTTCTTCGCCTTTCCACTGACTATTATAAACTGTGCATTTACACTATTCTCAGTGTATTTATTGATGATATCAATATTGTTGTTTTTTTTTCTAAAAATCTCACTTTAATGCAGACTTATTAGCTTGATGTGCTGTTAATAGATGTGTTCCCTCTCTCACTCTCTCCAGGTTGAAGTCATGTATGAAGAAGAGCCTCTGAAAGATTACTACACGTTAATGGATATAGCATATATCTATACTTGGAGAAGGGTGACATATATTTTAAAATCCTTTGAAACTGGATTTCAGTTGACTTTATCCAAACTGCTGCTGCTGATCCATTCGATTTGTTTAAATGTATTCACGCATGAAACATCAAGTAATTTCTTCATTGTCAGATCAGTTATACATACTTACTCATCCTATGGATATAGATACCTTGTAGTGTCTTATTTTATGATTCTTTTATCATTCAAAATACAGTTCTTAATTTATTCCCCTAAAACAATTACTATCCAGAGTTTTAAATGTATTATTTTATTTTAAATTGGAAAAACATAGAGGGACCTGATTGATAATGAATACAGAAAATAAATTTCAAGACCCCAAGAAAACACAAATACACTATTAAATTTGCCAAATGGGAAAATCATGAGGAATGTTTGAGAATAAAAACTTAAATTGCCTTCAGAGTAAAAATGAGTTGAGCCTTAGTTGTTCTGGATGTTGCTCCATGTGCATGAGGAGAAACTGGATCAAGGTTGTTTTTAGATTGAAACTCTTACATTTCAGTTCATCTGCAGCAGTTTGGATGAGTTTCTCTTTGTGCATGGTGTAACTCAAATGTATGAACATGTAATAATTTGATAAATTGTTGTTCTCCACAGAATGGCCCGTTGCCTCTGAAGTACCGAGTCCGACCCAACTGTAAGAAGATGAAGGTGAGCCACGCGCAGCAGGAAGGCCAGAACAGCGCGAGCAGATCCGGTCCAGAGAGCGACTCCGCCAGCGACAAAGCCGGAAGTCCCGCCGGGGCTCCGTCCACGTCCTCCTCGCTGCCGAGCCCCGGCACACCCGCCCAGTCCCCGCACCCGCAGCTACCGCACGGCGCCAACAACGTCAACGGGACCCCAGCCGCTGCCACCGCCGCCCCTCCGACCCCCAGCCGCGCCTTCACCCAGTTTGGTAGCGGCGCCGCCCCCACCAAACCCCGGAAGGTTTCCCTGAACGGCTCGTCGACTTCCTCCGGATGACGCGGGGCTCCGGACCGGGACCTGCTAACGCCAGACACGCGCTCAGCTGATACTGTTTCCATGCCAACGTAGTTCCATCATTTATCTCTCTCTCGCCATTGGTTGTTGGAATATGACGACATCCTGTTTGTGGAATCACAGACATTTCAAAATAAAAGCAACGCGGAAGTTGGGTGGACTGGGGAATTTTAACATGAAAGAAAATGTCTGATGTTGAGGATTAAAAAAAAAAAAAAAAAAAAAAAGAAAGTTGGAAACGAGAAGACTACCCCCCATCTTTTTTAAAGCTACATCTTTATTTTACAGAAGCGACTGAAGATAGACTTTTATATTTCCTTTTGTCTTTTTTTCAAATTCAACGTGTTAATCATGAATATTTCATGCGTGTTGGGATGTTGTTTTTTGAAGCTGTCTGTTTGAACATGCATGCTCATGAGAACACTTTTATTTTTAAGAGAGAGATTTCCACGTGTTTACCCCACAAGTCTCATTTGGATGTTTTCTTTTGTTTTGTTTTTTAAAGTATTTCCGGCATTGCTCTAGTTCTAAATGAAAGGAAACCAACAACGCTGTTGGCTTCACGGAAAAATAACATATGGAGGAAAAAATCTTAACTTTGCCTTTTACTGGAAGAAAAAAGTACTTCCTCGTAGCCGCAGTGGAGTCTGATTGCTTATTTATCCTCCACGTCATAAGCACGTTATAAGCAGTTTTAGATGATCCACGTGTAAATAGAAACAAAATGCATATTTAATCAGCGATGTTATTCTCTTATTCCCCCTCTTTTATTCTGAAGGAATGACTTGGGCTCCATCTCATGCTCAGTTGACGGATGTTTTGATGTCTCCCGTGTTTTCCCGTATTTGTATCGCTCGATTGTATGGACAACTTATTGTATTGTTACTGTTGCACAGTATAAAACATCTAAATAAAAAAAACATTTTACACTTACGGAAGAAGATCAGCTCGGTGTATTCTCTGTGTGAGTGAGTAAACAGAGTTTTAATAACAATGGAGCCATTGTTATTAAAATCATTTAAATTATGTTAATCTCCCAATAATATGTACGCATTTGCTGATTGTGAAATATGAGAATTTAACGTTTAACTTTTATGATTTTTTTGGATGCTTAAACCCCGTGTTTTTATCGATTTTAATGACTTTCCCCATGTTTAATCAAATATGATTTCTTTTTTCGCGCAGAATCGTTTGTTGAAAGTTAAATCACTTTTAAATTGTAAGAACAGAAAAACATTGTATTTGCGACGCACAATGATTTTTTTGAACTAAATCTATCGTTTCACGAAACCTGGATTTGACCTGGATTAGTAAATCAGGATTAGGCAGCAGAATCTATGAATGTGATAAAGAAAGATAACTACGCTGTAACATACATTCATCATTTTCCCTTTAAAGGTGGTTTCACACAACAGCTTCATGATTTCATAAGAATCAGAAATGAAAAGAAAATATTCCTTATTTAGATTAAATATATAGGATATAATAACATTTAATGTTATTACATCTGTTGAATCGACAAAACCCCGCAGTTAGGTTTAGTGTGAAACTAATACATGGGAAAAAGAGAATAAACAAACTCTGAGCATGATACGATTTCACAGAAGAATCAAAGACGATGATGTATTTCCATGAAATCTATTTTGCATGAGATCATTTGTGAAAATACCTTCAAATACCACAAGCAATATTGAAAAAATAAAGATAATACAAAACATGTAGAATGTCTTAGGATAATAGCATAAATGTCTATTACGTCTGTGTGCTTTACTGAATGTATATGTATTATTTTTTTCCACAAAGATATTTAGTTGCACACTTATAAAATCCAAAAAATGCTGTATGTAATTATTTTCATATTTACTTTATCTATATTTGTTTGCTGTGGCAGACAGGAGATTGACTGTTCCTCATTTCAGTGAGATTTAAAAAAAAAAAAAAAAGATTTATAAAATTTTTTTCATTTGCATGTAAACTTGGTTCACAAAACATCCTTAAAAAACACCTACAAAACAAATAATAAGAAGTGATCCAGACAGGTCGAGTCCTGCAGGTAAATTGCGCAGAAGAAAAATAAAATGTACTTTATGATGAGAGGTTCATACATCAACACTCCTGCTGCTTTTTGTGTTGAATGTGAACACGTGACACATCAATAATGATAATTTGGCGCTCTTCTTTTTGCAGGAACAAAGGAGCGGGAGGAGCGGGACGACATATGTCGACACGCACCCGAGCCGATCAGAAACAGCGAGCGGAGTGACACCTCTCCACAAGAGACGATCTTTGTCAGGAGCTCAAGAACATCCTGCTTCCTGTCGGTTGTCACGGCAACACTCAACAACAAGGAGAGAGCCGCCGAGAAAACGGTTCAGAGAAAAACTGAACCCCGTGATAAAAAAGCGTTTTCTGTTTAGTTTCAGTGAATTAAGCTGATAAAAGTAATTTTTCTTGCATCTGGGAAACAATGAGTCAGCGACAGATCATTCAAGGTGAGTGTCAGGAGCAGTTTTCTGTCATAGAAGGATACATGCATCAGGTGACACACTGTCCTGTTTGTGCTTTGCAGTTTTCGAGCAGTATCAGAGGTCGAGGATGCAGTTCGTGCAGACTGTTGCAGATCTGGCAACCAGACCCCAAAACATAGAGACCCTGCAGAGTGCTGGTAAGAAACAAAGATAATGGGGGCGCTATAGTGAGATGAGTTTTCTCGGTTATAATCTCACCCAGATGTGGAAGGACTATTTAAATGCATCCTTTTATAAGAGGCTTGATTCTAGATCTTTATATTTGATGGTAAATGTGCTTCATTTAGTCAACTAAGTACTAAGTTTAATCTTCCAAATTTAATTTGGAAGAACTTTAAATCCCCCATCTTCACTGCACCCTCCCTTGAAAATCTCTTGCTCCCTCCGGACCTACACCTTATGTCAAAATGTGTAGAATGTCTGGCTGGCCAGGTTTCTTCTGACCTAATTAGGGAGGCCTGGGAGAGGGACTTGAACTCAGATATATCAGCGGAGCTCTGGGAAGTGGCAATGACTTTGATTCATTGTTGTTCTATAAATTCATACTACAGAGGAATCCAGTACAAAGTGATGCATAGACTGCACAACTCAAAAACAAAACTGAACCACTTTTTCAGTCTCTTTGCTTCAGCTGCTAACTCCAGTGATTCCTCTCCTGCAGGGGTGATGTCCTTGCTGCGTCCCCTGATACTGGACGTGGTCCCCAGCATCCAGCAGACTGCAGCCCTGGCTCTGGGCCGCTTGGCCGACCACAGCGATGACCTGGCAGAGGCCGTGGTGAGGGAAGACATCCTGCCCCAGCTGGTTCACTCCCTGGTCTCACAGAATGTCAGTATTTCTAATCATCCTTCCACATTACACTGCTTTATTTGTTGCTCCTGTAGCATAGAGGCAGGTTGTCTTCACCCTGGAGAGGCTGCTGTTAGAGGGGGAGACAGAGGAGGAGGAGGTCAGCCCCTGCGATAGCTGCAGGGTGGGCCTGAGTGTGAGTGTCATTTTTGTGGGTTCACTTGGCAGAAAGCTTGGGGGCTACTTCAAAACCCAAGAGCCCCCTTTTAGCATGAGAGCAACCATGCAGGCCTTTGTTTCCTCTCTGTCTGTCCCAGTCCACTCAGAGGCTCAGTGTAGAGGGACACATAGTTTAAGTCTTTGCAGTGTCGCATAAAAATGTTAAAATCTGACAAGCAGTCATTGTTTGCTTCAGAATTTTATTTTACAATGCAACTGATATGAAGACATGAACATATTTTGTCTTTAAGGTTTCTCGGGACACTTTAGAAGCTATCTACACTTATAAGTATGTAAGAATGTAAACAACTTTCCAATTTAGTGTATTAACGAAATAAAGTATTTTTTTTATATTTAAAAGCAATTACCACTTTATTATATGGTGTCTGTCAGACCCCTGGACAATAAGTGTCTGTCAGACCCCTGGACAATAAGTGTCTGTCAGACCCTGGACAATAAGATATGAAACTAAATGTTGAAAATAAAAGTGTCAAAAAGTTTAAAATGATAAATAAAAAGAAGGAATTTAATTTCAGGTTTTACAAAAGAGGGTTTTCATTATGTATTTTATAATAAAAGTCTCAAATCCTCAGTTTTTCATCAAATCAAATGCAGTGTGTATGTGTTTGTTCCAGATATCCCTCATGTAGTGGGGACCTAAAGCTGTTAACACGGTCACATGATTTAAGGTTCTGTTTAAAATAAAGGTTCCAGTTAAATTAGGGTTAGGGATCAGGCAGGTAACTATGGTTAGGGTTATAGGAAGTCTGCAGGAAATCAATGTAAAGTCATGGAGACACGGCTGTCTGTTGTGTTGTGTGTGTTTGTGTTGTGTGTGCAGAGGTTCTATAAGAAGGCTGCAGCGTTTGTGCTTCGTGCTGTAGCCAAACACTCCCCCGACCTGGCCCAGGCTGTGGTGGCCTGTGGGGGTGTGGATGCTCTGGTCCTCTGCCTGGAGGATTTTGACCCCGGGGTGAAGGAGGCCGCAGCCTGGGCTCTGGGCAACGTCGCCCGACACAATGAGCGTAAGAAGGACAGACTTCCATTCCCACTCTCTCTCTCTTTCCATCCACCCGGTGTCTATATTTTCACGCTCTCCTCCTCTCTCCATCAGTGTTGGCTCAGTCTGTGGTGGAGGCGGGTGCGGTCCCTCTGCTGCTGCTCTGTCTCCGGGAACCAGAGATGGCTCTGAAACGCATCGCGGCCTCCACCCTCAGCGACATCTGCAAACACACGCCGGAGCTGGCGCAGGCGGTGGTGGACACCGGTGCCGTGGCGCACTTGGCGCAGATGATCCTCAACCCGGACGCAAAACTCAAGGTTCAGAACAGTTTTGGATTAAACTCAGCTCATGTTCATTTACAATAGTCTCATAGAAATTAAACATCATCAGCATTTTTTATTTTCCTTTAAAACGCCTTCTTGTTATGGCAGTGGTAACCATAGTTATTAATGACTAAGGCATATAATGTCAGTGCCTTCTGTTATTTTGGTTATTGAAGCTTCAGTATTTTTTTAAATAATAAACAGTGAAATGGCTGTGTTTA